GAGGAAAAGCAGAAAGTATGTTTTTGTTCCAAAATTGTTGCTCCCTGGGATTTTATAGTGGAAGTAGTGCCTTAACTAGTGGCCATTTACTCATCTTTTCTTGTACATGTCACCACTCTAACTTGTAAAACTAGTTAAGAAGGTAATATTCCTCAAGCAATTAAAGACCCTACTAGTATAGACCACTTTCATAAATGGCTGCTGGATTAATATTCTTTTGTTTAAATTTAAATTAGCCCTACTGGCCTCGTTCTCTAGTACAAAATTCAAAAGAATACATTATCTCAAGCGAGGCCAGAAGGGCTAATTTAAATTTAAACAAAAGAATATTTATACGGCAGTCATTTATGAAAGTGGTCTATAGGGTACTTAATTAAGTTCTGAGGGAGTTCCCTTGTTAATAACCATCAACTAAAGATAATTTGGTTTTATCAACCAAGTTAATAATGATAATTGAAGACTTATACTCAAAATATAAGCTTTTAATCAGAAACTTTTTACAATGGCTGATTTACAACTCAGTTGATAAATTTGAATTATCGTGAAATACCCCCACAGATACAGCATCACTCCAGTTTCTGTAGAAACTTCCCCCTTTTTTCATTCATAAATACCAGTATACCAGTATACGTAGTTCCATTGTTTCTCTGTCAATCCACCTTGGAGTGCAAATGGCTGCAAGTGGACTGTTAGGGAATTGTGCTTCTAAATTCTGTCAATAATATGCTTGGTGAGCACAGACCTCATTATACCACTCGTTAGGAGTGGCAATACCCCTGTCATGCTATAGAAACAAAGTTAGTAGGAGCTAAGTCCCTATTATTTGTTACTAATATTTTTTTTTATTTGGAAACTCTTTAACATGCTTGCTTTTTTGCAAAATTGTCACAAAGTCTCTTGAACCCTCAAAATTAATTGAGAAGGGAGTATTCAATGCTCACTACAACATGTTCACACAAAATATAGATCTCAATCTCATAATCCTTAAAGTCATGATTGTTGTCGCTATCAGCATAATTATTATTATTATTACTAATATTGTATTAATTATTTCAGATATTCTGGTGGTTAGTACTTTATTTTTTTTTTTGTGTCCTCTTTAGCAGGTCTAGGACTCTAAGTCTATGGGAGAACATAGGACCTTTGGTGAGTTTACAAAGATGTTTTACACAACATTTGGCTTGCTTCTGCCATTGAACAATCAAAGGGTCAAATTATCAGGCAGTTGGAGTCAGTTCATAAGCTAATAAATAAGTCAATCCAGCAATTAATCATCAGTCACTAAGTCAGTCAATCAACCAGTTAGTCAATCAACCAGTCATGCAAACAACCAGTCAGTCAATCAACCAGTCAGTCAATCAACCAGTCAGTCAATCAACCAGTCAGTCAATCAACCAGTCAGTCAATCAACCAGTCAGTCAATCAACCAGTCAGTCAATCAACCAGTCAGTCAATCAACCAGTCAGTCAATCAACCAGTCAGTCAATCAACCAGTCAGTCAATCAACCAGTCAGTCAATCAACCAGTCAGTCAATCAACCAGTCAGTCAATCAACCAGTCAGTCAATCAACCAGTCAGTCAATCAACCAGTCAGTCAGTCAGTCAACCAGTCAGTCAGTCAGTCAACCAGTCAGTCAGTCAGTCAACCAGTCAGTCAGTCAGTCAACCAGTCAGTCAGTCAGTCAACCAGTCAGTCAGTCAGTCAACCAGTCAGTCAGTCAGTCAACCAGTCAGTCAGTCAGTCAACCAGTCAGTCAGTCAGTCAACCAGTCAGTCAGTCAGTCAACCAGTCAGTCAGTCAGTCAACCAGTCAGTCAGTCAGTCAACCAGTCAGTCAGTCAGTCAACCAGTCAGTCAGTCAGTCAACCAGTCAGTCAGTCAGTCAACCAGTCAGTCAGTCAGTCAACCAGTCAGTCAGTCAGTCAACCAGTCAGTCAGTCAGTCAACCAGTCAGTCAGTCAGTCAGTCATTCAGGTTGTCAATCAATCAGTAAATTAATCAGTCAGTCAGTTAATCAATCAATCCATAAATCAATCAGTCAATCAACTAGTTAGTCAACCAATCAGTTAATCAATCAGCCAGTTAGTTAGTCATGTGATCAATTAGTTAATTAATCAATCACTCAGTTAAAAAGGCGATCAATCAACCAGTCAGTTGATTAACCAGTTAATCAATCAGGCAATCAATCAGTCAACCAATCAGTCAATCAACCAACCAATCAATCAATCAATCAATCAGACAATCAATCAATCAACCAACCGATCTATCAATGAATCAACCAATCAATTTGTCAATCAATCAATCAGCCAATCAATCGATCAGACAATTAATCAACCGGTCAACCAATCAACTGGTCAACCAATCAACCAATCAGTCAATCAGTTGGTTTATTTAATCGGTCAATCGATCAATCAGTCGATCAATCAAGCAGTCAATCAATCAGTCAGTCAGTTAGTCAGTCAATAAATGCACACAGAAAGTGGAGTTAGTAAGAATGCAATAGCATTTGCTGTAAAATAACTACTCAGTTTTTATATGGGATAGGGATTTTTACTTTACAGATGCCATTGAAATTATTAGACCCACTTTTGAATCTGCATTTTTTGGTTAATTTTCTTTGTGTTAGCCGCACACCCACGAATACGAAGACCTAGAGTCTACAGATAGGGCGTCGGATGGTGGACCCTACAGTGAGCTTTTCTCGTCAGAAACCTAGCTACTAAACGGAACCGAACAGGATACAGAGCAAGTCTAGGTCGGTGGCATCCTCCGTGGCGATTGTTCTAACAAGTAGCGCGAAAACCCGGCGAGCAATTTGATTCAGTTAGCTGATAGGTAGTGTGAGACACAGCGCTGAAATACGCGGAGTCAGTATTGAGAGTGAAGGCGTGATACATTGTATAACCTGTTACCAGATCTCTTTACCTCACAAAATGGTATTGCTGTTCGTGTGGTAGGCAAAGCGGCATGCCAGAAGACACCCGCCGCCGGTAGCTAGTCTATTTTGATCTGTATTTTACCTGCTTGTCCAGTCACATAACGATAAGACTAAGTGCTGTCAACGAAGCCTTTTGCCCGCAAACGTTTGACACTCTGGCTATGGCGCATGTACAGCAACGGCATCAAAGCATAGGCGGCGGGGCAGGGGGGCCGTAGCCCCCCCCCCAAAAAAAAAAGAAAATATTGGGAGCGCAGCCCCCCTTATGAAAATTGGAAAATATTCAATCTCGTGATCTTTTCTCAGTTCCTTATACGAGCATCACGCTTGAGGAAATCATGTGTTGTAAAACATCTTTTTGTAAAGCTCCAGCTTGTGTTCAAGAATCTTATCAACGGAAGCAATTTCATTAAACTACACAGCACGTCTACGAAATTATACAAGATGCAATTTTGTCCCAATCGAATGGTACGCTGGAAAATTTTAGGTTGTGCCGGAAAAAATGAAAATGAAAAGCGAGTACGGATACACTCGAAACTGATTGCAAAGACGTTTGCTTGTGCCAACGAACAACGCAAAGGGCATTTTGAAAAATTTTGAGGATGGGTATGCGCATGGTTGGGTTAAAGATAAGCCCCCTCCTCCCACGTTTCAAAATGCTCCGCCGCCTCTGCAAAAGATCAAATGCCAGCTTCATCTCAAGCATTGCTATCCACGTACGACTGAGTTAGCGGTCTTGAAAGCGAAAAAGTTGGAATCTTGCCTGTTATTTTTAAGTTCCAACTTGTCGTAAGAGTTTATTTCACTTCATTCCTCTAAGCTTGCGTTGAAGCGTTTCTGAGGCCTTTCAACGCCTTCTTGCAGACAAAATTGAACCTCCATTTAATAGAATAGAATATTTATTGAGTCACGATAGATCGTGCCCATTGTGCCCGAGAAACTCAGTTCTTTTTAAAATGGGTTTAGTTTCGACGTGATGTCACCCTTCAATGTTTTAGTGTCAGAAATGTAGTTTAATCTAGCCTTCCATTGTCGAAGTTGGCATCATGAAGATTAATTGATTGAAAGTCATACATTTTCTGCTTTTCTTTGCGCGTGCTCGCTGATAACTGACAATAGGTCGTTCCATAGAGTTTGAAACAGAACTACTGAGTAGGGTGGGAACTTCTTGGACACGGTGTTTCTTCACGGGGGGTGACAACTCTAACAAACGCTGTTTCGGGACAAAGCCAAAGTTGTTCCGGGAATCTGGAGATTTTTCCGGGAATCGGGACACTTGGAAATTTTACCGGAAAACACGCGATAATTCCGGGACATTGCAGAAAAAAAAAAAATGGGACATCGAAGGAATTTTTGTCTCACGTTTTTATTTACATTAAACTCGGTAAGTTAGGCATGAAATCTTCTGTAAATGAAAACATTCAAACAGCCTTTGGAGTGTTGGGTCGGCGTATTTTATTGCTGATGGTGGCAGTCTTCGTCTAAACACACCAACGCAAGTTTCATTCAGAATTGGATGGAGACCCTCCGCAACGGCCACGAAGCTTACGGTTTAACTGAAAAGAGACTTGGAGAAATTTACAAATGTAAGGTCAGAGCTATGGATTACCCGTCAAAGATTAAAGCGTTGGAGCAAAGAAGCAGCTATTTTGAAAAGTGGCAAAATGAAGTCGCCGAAAGGTTACCGGGAAAGAAGACCGCCAGCATGGAAAAGTATGGTACCCCTAGAACGAAAACCATGGAGAATACAAGGATATCCTGAGAAGGGAAGAGAAGCATAGAAGGTCTTCAAAGAGAACATGGTCTTGAAAGTAGACTAAATGAGTTCCAGTTCACTTCTGTTACAACGCTTCGTACAGAAGGCATGTTCGGAGTATACAACCGAGATCAGGTGGTTCCATCTGCACTTGAATTTAAATATCTTTCTTCTCGCAGTGCATTGGAATGTGCAATGGAATCCGTTATGGGGCTTGGATTTAAGAGGAAGAGAGAGACGCGTTATGAACACAGAGATGACTGCCAAATGCCATTGCTCTACACAAAGCGGAAAGATGATTGTTCTTTTATAAAGGAAAGTTCGCGGGTAAAGAAAGAGGCGTCAGAAATGCGGGACTTTTGCCGTGTGTACGGAAAGGGTGTTAAAGTTAGTGGAGTGAGACAAATCTACAAGCAGAGGCCAGGCTCTCTTCCTTTATACTGCCGAAAAGCCAAAAGCCACGGTGACATTGCACGATGAAGAAAGTGCTCCTTTGTTGCAGTGGTTATATTCTGTGACAAAACAAAATGGAGGCAAAAGAGCTGAAAGGGCGAAAGGCAAAGAACCACGTGTGTCTACTGAGCAATCATCCGAAGCCAGTGAGAAAAGTGTGATGGTGGTTGGTCATCGAGTAACCAAAGACGGCGTGGAGTACCCAGTGAAGGGCACACAAGAGCCTGACAGTGCCGGAATGTGGATCCCAAGAGAAAATGTCCCTGCCCGTCGGGAAATCTTGTGAATAAGTAAATAAATCTCGCTCTTGTCGCGGCACACACAAGACGGCAGAGGGCTTCTCGTTGCTCAACGTAGTCAACGGAACATTTCAGGCTTCTTTTACTCGTACACGTTAGCGCAACTAATACCTCATTATAGGAAATGAACGATGCATGCCATGCAACGAAAATACGGCCATTTTAAAGATGTTTTGTTTTTTTGTTAATTAAAATTGAAATGTTTTACTGTAAAGACGCTATTCATGGTTAAAGTAATGCTAAACATGCAAAACGTGTAATATTTAAGGTTACACATGTAGTAATAAACGATTAATCTTAGAATATATGCCGGGAATTCTAAAAATTTCCTGGTAAGTATCGCAAACATTCGGGAGGATGATCCAAATTTCCGGGACTACTTAAGTTAAGACCTAGTATTGCTCAAACAGCGTTTGTTAGAGTTGTCACCCCCCGTTTTCTTCCCCTAGACTGGCACGTCGCGGAAATGAAAGGGATTTCATTCTTAGTAAAGAGGAGTCGTATCAAGGAGGTGATCAAATGTAGGGTAGGGTTCTACTGACTGTACCAAAATCAATTCGCATGATTTTCTCCAAGTGTCGGGTTATAAAATTCATTCTGTTAGAGATTGCCTTATCGCGGCAGCATATTTTTAGGTTAGTACTAACTTTAAACATGAGTTTTACTTTTTTTAAGCTAGATTGTGTACAGAATGAGTTATTTAATATTTTTACGATGGTCAAAGATTGTTCATATTCACGTTTTTGGAGGTCATATATTTAAAATTCTTTAACCAATGTGAAATTGGAATTCACGTGATGTTGATTTATCGTAGGTAACGTGCATTATACACTTTCGCGTTGGATCACGACGTTTTGACTGCATACTGTAAGTTTTATTTACGCAGTGAGGTCGTCAGAAGTGGTCTAAAGGACCTTAAGGGCACTTTCTCGCGTAGGGAACTTTATTCGAAATGCGCCAATCACAACTGTGGAAAACCAGCCAATTACAGCTGGGTAGAACAGTCCACGAGGTAACACATATCCAGTGGACCTCTCACCTGAAGAAGACTAGTCGAAACGTCGTGATCCACATCGGAAGTGACCTCATGGTGAGACAAACAGCTAGGTTTCCAGACCATTTAATTAAAAGAGAGATTATGTTTCGATAGTGCTGCAATTTGTGACGCGGGCGTCATGAAAAATTGTAGGAACTAAAGTTCAGCTCCCAGTTGAAACATGTTTGTGACAGGTATTGAAGATGACAGTTTGCCCATACTTCCCACAATTTTGACCACAGAAGTATCTAGTGGACCCTAAGTGATGGTTTTTAACAATTTTCAGTTTGTTCGAGAGCAAAAGATTATATCTTTTTACAGCTGAAGGTGTAACAGGGAAATAATTTTATTATAGGCGGATTGTTAGATAACAGATGGCTATCGATGACAGCTTTGAGGTGAATGCTTAGTATTCACGACAGTAGTTCATCAATAGAAATTACTTTTTAATAATCAATTTGTGATTTGCTGAAGATAAACTTTAGTTTGAAGCATTAAATGTATTTTTGGACAACTTATTGCTTTTGTTGTCTGTAGCGGCGACAGAGTGAAAGGGGATGAAACAAGGTTTTTGTTTCGTCTAAGACAAGTGTCTTGGGAAATGGACTTAATTTCTCCGACGATAACCTCGGTTAAAAGAAAGGGATAGCTCGTTGCAGTATCTCTCTGCTTTGTGTTCTTTTGAATTTTAGTCAAGAAGTACTTCATCTACCGCGAAAATTTAACCAGCAAAAGAAAGTCAATTTCACTCTCTTGATCTGTGTGGAGTATGTCCTATGATCCAACCCCTGCAGCACTTCAAGTGTCCATCAAGGGAGTACGAACAGAGAGTTTTCACTTCTAGCAAAAAACATTAACAAACTGTGTTTTACATCATACATTCATATACAAACCATATATTTTGGAGCCAACATGGAAAACCTTCAAGGAGGCGAGCAGCGGTAAACAAGAAACCACGACCTGTAACTGTCGCAGCTGCGCACCAAGCTTCTCCTGCGAAATTGCCTTCATCAGCTGCATTGTTTAGAGGGGGGAGTAGGTGATCCGTGAATTAATCCCCATTTCTGTTAAGATCTATTCGTGTTGACAGTTGACGATACCGTCTTGTAGGTTTTGTTTTTCTTTTTGTTTCTTTGTTTGTTGTTTTTTTTGATAAACATTTACACATGCAAATTCTCCTTTTCAGGACATAACCTTGTGATCAAGGTTTAGAATTCTCCAGAAAAGCTATGCGCTGAAGATTTTTTGAGCAATTTTGCAAGACACGCGAATTGCTAAAACTTTATTTGAGGGTGAAAGTCGAGAAGCTTTCCCATCAGGATGTATCAGCCTCTTACAAACCAATCGCCACTGCCATGCATGCAGAGGAATATTGGCCCGAAGTCGTGGCAGGTTGAACGCAGCCAAGAGCCCATTACCCGGAGCTTCTTTCTCAGTTCTACTCTTGAGTCAACCCTGTCCCGTGTCTTTTTATTTTTAGAACTGAGATATTTACGGGGTATCTTTGATCTTTCTGCGCTTTCCGCCATTATTGAAATAATTTCGTGCCGCCTGCAAGTGACACAAAGAGACGTAACACAATGGAGACGACAGCTCTCTTATGATTGGTTAATTTTCTTTTAAAAGCTCTTCCCGTCATGTCAATTTAGAGGATTTCTTTCTGTAACTTTGTTTTCAAGAAGCGTACTCATAACTCAGGAAGAAAAAGTCACAGGGAAATTAGAAACAAATTACCAAACGTCATGTTCATTCTTACACTAGGGTCTCAATGGGGTTCACCGTTAGCTGTAAGATGGCCTAAAAGTTTCGTAAATTGATAAATTTTAACTGTTATTCGCGAAAAAAATAAGTTAACCGTAAAAATTTTTCCTATCTTGAAAGTATCAAAATCTGAGACTGTTATGTATCTTCATACCCATCGAACTGGGAATGTCTTCTTTTCGCGCGTGGCATGAATTGACAACTGACTACTTTTAAGGTCTTCAGCTTCTTCAAATCCTCAGTAAGTGAAGGATGGCTGCCCTGGAAGGCATAATTAGTTTACATCGAGCTGGGAAGGAAAAGCTAATTGAAAGATACACGGCAACAATTAAAATTGTCGTCTTAATCTATTTAAACTGGGATTGACAGGTCTGCGAGACTCCTCAGTGTATGTTTCAGCCTTTTCATGGCTTCGATCTTGAGAAATCATCCTCTTCTGTAAGAAACGAGGGATGAATCTTGGTCGATTTCGCTTACCAATGGTTGTTGTTTTGCCAGTTTTTCAGGAGGAGTTTTACTGGTATTGACACCGATGGTTGGTTTTATGTCACTTTGCATGACGGCAGTCTTTCAAGAAGCTGTACCCTATTGTTTAGGAAACTAGGGTGAGCGATGGAGGGAAGGAGAAAAGGAAACAAGATGATGGAGAGATCCGCCATGTGAAATCTGCCCGCACGGACATCAATTCTCACTCGTTGACATTCGCTACTAAAAGTGAAAAAAGGTGGTTTTGAATATTTTTATTCCCAAGCAAATAGCACCCACATGAAAGAAAAACATTTTCAGCCTCTCCTCTTTCCAGTGAAATTGTGTCGGAACTCTAAAATAAACCAGCAATCTTAAGTCATAGCTTTTAAAGCAAAGCTGCTCATTTCCGACACCGGCAGAAAGTTAAAAGGTCTCTGAAAGTATAGTGATCAATGTAAAATCCCCCTTACAATTGTTTCCACCTTTGCTAATCAACATAAACATTCCAAAACTCCTCGTAGCCAGAAAAATCGATAAACTATTCTCATTTATCCTACCAAAAGTTTTGGTTAACCTTTTACGTTTCTACATCAAATACCTTACAAAGGAGAGCTGAATACTACTAGACAATTCTTTAGACCCTTAAAACCAGCACAGAAACGTAAAGTTCATAACATTTTATCCATATCCGGAGTATTTTCTTACTGACGCAGGACTCATGATGTACCCGATGCAGCTAATACGCCATCAGGCTAACAATGGAGCTGACAATCGCTTTGGACGTCATCCCAGTGGCGGTCACCATTACGTCATCTCCGGTTCCAGCGATGACACCGGACTTTGCAGTAAACCAGGCGTAGAAGAAGCCAATCCGGTTTTGGTAAACACGGACACGGGACCGTGAAACCGAAGAATCAAAGACCCTGGAGGTTTTGACTTGGAAATGGAAACTCTCAGTCGGAGCTGTGTTGTATACAAAGAATACCACCAATCCTTTTCCGCCAATGGGTACAGTAAACTCACGTCTGGCATAGAGAACCCTAAGCAGGGCGTGGCCTGGTTGAACGATGTTTGGGGAGTCGCGCTCAAAGTCGAAGTTCTTTTTGGTCTTGCCTTTCAGTTTCAATGTGAAGGGAACAGAGGGAGTGGAGAAAGAAGCTGAGAAATGGGCACCACTTTTCCCCACGGAATGGATTGAGCTCACGTTTAGAAGTTTTTTATCTCTGCTCAGGATTTCAAGTTTTAATGAAGTTGCACGGATCTTATCTGCTGCCCTCACAATCAAGATGACGTGGGCGGAGTGACCTGTGAGTGTGGAGCGAAACAAAAAAACATTTAGATATGTCTAGTAAGTTTATGCAATACGTACCAACCGCTTTTGCTTTTGATGTTGCTATCGAGAGCACCTTTAATCCTTTTTTGTTTGTTTATTTTAATTACAACTATGATTTGATGAGCTTTTTAATTAGAAGTAAATACATCATTTTTAAAGCCCGTATGCCATCGGTACACACCATTCTCAAGCCAAGCGAGTTAAGATGTCAATCAATATTAACACGGTATACCTTCATGGACTTCTCTTTTCTCTTGTTTTCTCGTTACCATGTTCTCACAGTTCCATTATCTGCATATAAACACACACACACACACACACACACACACACACCTCACAACCCACAACCCAAATTTCCTCCATTCGTTCTGATGAAGGGCTAAAGCTCGAAAAGTCAGCTTTTGAACTCTTTACGGTGGCAATTTACGTCATCAACACAGTTGATAAAACCCAATCACCTTTTATACTCCCCCTCCGACGCAGCACCACAGTTTCTAAAACAATTCCCCTTTATGCCCTTATGTACCTCATCAACCCAAAAATAACCATAAGCATCGTTTCCTAGAACTAAAGAGGTGTAGGAAACATAGAAAGGAGATAAAATTGACATGCAACACACTTACCGATGAGGGGATGGGGAATTGGGAGAGGGGGCATTCTACCGCGAGGATTGACAAAGATGAAGTCAAAGTCCAAGTTTCCTGTACCGGATGCTTTTACCACGTAGGAGTGCTTGCCTGCTCCAGGCGATACAGATAACTTCCAGACCCCTGGTTTAGGGTGATCTACAACAAATATCGCACCTCTGGTCACGTAAGTCGTTCTTCCTTTGCTAACAGGAACACCTACTGGATCTCTCAACACGATTGATGGTCGTCTGTTTTGGGTCGTGACAGAGACAATCACTTTGTTCATAGAGTCATCTAGAGGTATTTTATGGATTGAGAAACTTCTTTTCTTCCTGCCGAATGGGGAGATACTACGTGTAGTATCGCAGTGAACAGGTGCTGCCCCGAGTAGTACCTTAGTGACTTTCTTCATTTTTGCGAGGTCAGAGCTATACTTAGGGAGTTCGAACACTTGACCGCAAGTTGCTTGAGCAAGATCGTCATATGGACCGTACTTGCTTTTACCACAAAGTCCAGTAGTAAAGAAATAAACACTAGATCGTAGCGTATTTGCTGCCACTTTCACTAGGTCATACTTGTACGAGTCTTTTGCTGTGGCATCAGTGAAGACGTAAAGCGGTGATTTTTCCTGCGCAAAACCGGTAGTTAGAGCATCATGCATTCCTGTGAAGGCCAACTCAGGACAATCCCCTCCTCCATGTGGTTTAAGATTTTTAATTTTACTTGAGAATTCATTCCCTTTACCAACGTCCATAATCGTTAATGGTCCAGTAGCTGGAGGAAAAAAGAAAAGTAAAATCGACCTTCAATATGCAGTATGCAAGATGCGATATTTAACAACTTCCGAAAACATCTAATAATAAGTTTAAAAAAGGCTTGTCACCTATTTTGTCCCACTTCGATCCAATTTACATAATCATTTTTAAACAATGACGCCACATTAAGATGATTCCTCTGAAAAAAGGTTATCAAACATTTTTTTTAACCTTTCCTTATTCCCCACCAATGTTTGTTTCGAAAGATACAGTAAAAAAGATAGGTTACTGTTCTTGTCTTAGAGATATGGTTGGCAAAACCTATACCTCATTAATGCCTATACCGGTACTAATCACGGGGGTCATTCATTGGTTAATTAACGGTACATTTTACGGTAATTGGAAGTAAAGGTTTTACAGTAACACTTGAAAAAACTGTAAAGGTAGAAAGTCTCGAGCATATGGAACAATTTTACAAATAACTTGAGGAAAAATCGTGCCATTTTAAATGACGTCGACTCAAAACGTTCCTCAGGTGGTTGCCTTTCAGGTCATAATTTGCATCCTCGAGTAACAGGCTTCGTGAACGCTTTTAGTTATATATTTTCTTCCCTTCGAAGAATCTTTTTTATTTCTCCAAGATATAGGGGATAGTTTGTACACCAAAATTTTGCGTTAAAAAATATGAGTCACTGGCTTGTTCAAGAGCTAGACCATTTGAATCTTTAACTGGTCAATTGATCGAAAAACTGAATACCGTGTACTCGGATTGCGCGCTTCTTCACTTGATTACGTGATTTTTATGCACAGTACCGGATGCGCAATGCAATACTGAGAAATCACCTTCAAAGGAGAGAATAAATCTGAAAAATAATAATGAATACTCACTCGGGTCGTTAAAAGGGGAGAGCACATAGTCTAGTTTCGTATGCTGTCTGCTCTGATTTTTGATGATATATTCTGCGATGGCTTTCGCAGCTACAATCTCAGTGTGCATGCTTCCAGTATCATCAATAGCAAACATCAAGGTTACTTTATCCACCACAGCGAGGAGCTTATCAAAAACGTCTGATTTGACCTCTTTCTTGATGGTATCCAAGTACTTCTTTACTGCATCTGCGCACGGAGTGCAGCGCCTCGTCCGAGAAGGAGTCGTTGCTTTCCTTTTCTCGATTTCAATTGATGTATACAAACCATGACCGAGCAGTTGCTGAATGAATCGAGTATTACCGCGTTTGGACGCCAGCTTGATATAATCTTTGATCTTTTTCGCCCTTGTTGTCGATTGGCTATAATACCACTTCATGGCCTGGGCATCATAAACGGATTTCTCAATTTGATCTACTGTTGTCAAGAAGGAGTTGGATGGTCTGCTTGGTTTTGAACCCGTTGCTCCTAAAAAAAGTAATAAGACAGTGCCTTGAAACAGTGTTGTCATTGTTCTGAAAAAACTTGAATGCGTATGGCACACACATGGCACACCCATTGCACGTCCTTGGCACACCCATGGCACATCCATGGCACCACTCATATCATTTAGGGCGATGGGTAAATTTGAAAAATATAAGCGAAAAAGTCTCATTATTACCACTACACGCAGCCAAATGACAAACTTCCCTCTCTAAAACGCTCCTTTTCTCGGGCCAAACGGCAAAGTGCGGACTGTAAATGGCATTTGCTGTCCTGATATATATTTTATTAAATCAATTCGTACGATGTGGCCTTGTGTATTGATAATAATGATGATCCCATGACTTTTGTCGGACGTATAGTTTATTGGTGTCCCTCGTAGCATCATTTGCATCCTCGCTCCGCTCGGGCGCAAGTGATGCAACTCGGGTCACATATAAGCTATATGCCATCCACAAGTCATGTGATTGTCCTATTATCACTAATTCATATGTTATTTTGAAGGAGCCGAGATGAAGGATTATACGTCTCTTTCATTTTCAATATTACCAGTGCTCAGAGAACAGCTGACTTTCGCTGACTGCACAATTAAAGTCAAAATTAATTCTGGATTGCTCAAAAATAGATTAGAAGATAGTAAAGAATAAAAGGGTTTATAAAGGAAAGGAAATACGAAAAAAGAGTTACCTGTACAAGTTTACAAAGTCGCAAAAAAGTCAAAGTACAAAGTACAAAGTAGCAAAAAAATTTGGAAAATCAAAAGCAGATGTGAAGGGGTTAAAATAGAAGAGGAAAATGGAAGAGACGCGTTAAAAAGGCGATATATTTGTGTAGTAGAAATTGACTAATGTAAAGAAATCTCAACAATAAAAAGAGGTCATTTAGGCGAAAAAGGTAGTGAAGAGATTAGAAATTATAAGGAGAAAAAAAGTTGAACAGAGAGTAGAAATGTATGCAGAAAGTTGTTATGGCAAAGAATAGTGAATAAAAAAATAAGAAGAGAAAAAAAATGGAAACCCAGAAGGTGGTAGGGATCGTTGATGATCAAAAGACCAGAAGTGACAGAGAGATCAGAGATGATAGAATGAAAAGAGATGGTGGTGAAACCAGATATACAAAGTCAGTTTAGAGAGAAAGAGAGGTCTAGACCAGAAATGGTAGAGAGACCAGGCTTAAAAGAAAGAAAACTGAGGAGAAGCAGGAAATGACGAACCCCCCCCCCCCAAAAAAAAAAGGAGACTACAGATGAATGAGTGAACTGAGATGTTAGACGAGAAAGAGAGGAGAAAGACAAGAGAGATGCTCGAGAGACCGAAGATGTTCGGGAAACTCAAGTGTAAATAAAAATTAGACAAAGAAATGAAAGGGAGTAGTGATCATTGGAGGGTATAGAAATAACGGGGAGTTAAAAAGTGACAGAGATAGTGTAAATGGCAGAGGGAACAAACGCGGTATCATGGATACCATAGAAAGCCTAGATAGGGCGGGAATACTAGAAATAGTGAAGATACCAGAGATAGTAGGGAGAAAATAGATAAGAATAGACATCACAGATGGTAGAGAAATCAAAGACGTTAGCGAGGTTAGAGATGGGAGAGAGAGTCCAGACGCTAAATAGATTGTTACGAGAAAGACTAAATGAAGGTTAAAGAAAAGAGATGGTAGAGGGATCGGAGTTTGTCGAAAGTCAGTAAAGAGGGAGACGGTATGGAGATGGTAAAAGACAACAGATGGCAGTGAGAAAAGAGAGGTAAAAAAAGACGAGAACGATCAGTAAATTAAGAGATTGTAGAAAATTAAACAAGAGATGGTAGAGAGATCAGCGATAGTTGAAAGGCAGCATCTGGTACAGACACTCGAAAATGTGGAAAAGAGATGACAAAGAAAAGAGATGTTACAGAGACGAGAACAATCAAGTAATAAAAAGATGGTACAGAAATAAGGGAAGATAGAAAGAACAGTAAATGGTTTGAACCCGGGGGTAACATGTGAAGGTGT